CCCAACGTCTCCCCCCACCCCCACCCCGGGCTCCCGAGTTCCGACTCCACAGACAGACGGACCGTAGGCCCTGCGGTCTCGGGGTGGGGGGATGGGGCGTCTCCGCAGTAACTCTGGGTCAGGCCCCGCGGGTCTGCAGGCGCCTCCTGACACCTGTGGCCCTTTGCGCGCAGGGGTGGCCCCTCCTTAGGAAGACGTCCTCCCTGCCTGTAAGAACCCACGGAGGAAGGCCTGGAACTGCAGGAACCACCTGAGAAACAATGCACAGGCCGAGCCTGAACCCCGGGCCACGTCCCAGAGGAAGGCCTTGAGCCACCCCAGCCTGGCCAAGCCAAGCACTAGTCCTTAATTCCACCTGTACCGAAGGTGGGCATCTGTCCTTCTGAGGCAGCCCCACTGTTGCCATGGCCGATGGACTGCGCTTGAGGGACCTGTGTCCCTCATTGAAGGACTTTGAAGGTCCCTGCAACCAGCCACTCCCGGCACATGGAACATAGGTTGTTCCATGTGTCCTGCGTCCAAGGAGCTCATGGCCTGGCGGAGCGGAGGTTACTTCAGTGATCAGGAGCCCAGACTCTGGAGGGAGACCATCGTCCACCCAGCAGCGTTCACTGAGCTCCTGATCTGTGGCAGAGCCGCGTGTGTCTGAGCACAGGAGGAGAAAGGCCAGACCCTGGAGCTTTGGAAGTTGAAGGGACAGTGTAACTGTGTGGCTGGAGAAGACCCGTCACCAGACCACAGAGGAGTTTGAACTTCCTCTTAAGACTGGTGGCGCCTGCCGGCGTGGCTCAGCGGTTGAGCATCAAGCTAGGATCCAGGAAATCACGGTTCATGTTCCCAGTCAGGGCACGTGCCCGGGTTGCGGGCTCCATCCCGAGTGGGGGGCGTGCAGGAGGCAGCCCATCGGTGACTCTCTCATTATTGATGTTTCTCTCTCTCCCTCTCCCTTTCCCTCTCTGAAATCAATAAAGATTTAAAAAAAAAAAAAAAAAGACTGGTGGGGAGGGAAAGTGGGCAGATCTCTGGAAGAAACTGTTTGCATGCTGTTTGTTAAATGCTGTGCTGGGAGATTTGTGAGAGGGGCTGCGAAACTCCCCTGAGCTCCTTGAGCCCACAGGGCACCTAGGTGCTGGGTGCCCCTGGAGGAAAGGATGAACACATGAGCAGTGCAGTCAACACCATTCAGCTATGTCCCTGCTTGAGGCTTCTGGTTGTAAAGGACAATTCAAATAGTGATTGATCCTGTCCTTGGAGAGGCCTGGGTGGCTTTCTTTCTGTGAGAGGACCAGGACACTTTCCCTGTAAGCCTCAGCTGTACAGTTAGGTCCACTGGCCACAATGCTGAAGTTGTAAGGGGGCCAGTCGGCTTGCAGGCACTTGTTACTCAGTTGCATAGATTACCCCAAGTTTCCCCACGACTCTGCCGCAACTGAAGACTAGCTGGGCGCTGAGGCAAGTAAATTAGGTCAGGAGGCTCAGAGGAACCACAGAGGAGCTCCTAGTGAGTGAGGGGTCAGTGTGTCTGTAGGAAGCTCAGCCCTCAAATGGGGGTGGGGCCAGGGCCCCCAGCTATAGGGCCTGCCTCCTCCTCAGACCAGCTGCTGTTGGGACTGCCCTGGAAATCACACATGTGTGTGTTCTTGGTGGGGGACTCTCTGCCAGAGAACAGAGCCCCAGGCAAGGCCGGGTATAGGGCAGCACTGCAGGGAGCTCATCAGGAGCTAGGGGAGCAAGACAGGCTGAGAGAGCCAGTGGAAGACTGGTCTGAACATGAAGTTGGTGGCTCAGTTGCACATGACCCTCCCCCGAAAAGTTCAGTAAATCACATTCAAGGACTGTCCAGGGAAGAAAGCAGAAGAATTTCTCCACTGGCTTCCATGAATCAAAGGTCAGTTTTGCTCCCCTTCTGTATTGTGCACGTGTAGGCACAGGGTCGAGGGTCACAGACTCTGGGCAGAAGGTGGGGCAGGAGGGTTCACGGGAGGGGAACCATCAGGGCTGGGGACCTGTGTGACTTTGTTGTCTATTGCCACATAGAGTGAGCTGGTTGCTTGGTGGCCCCTGTCAGTGGTCAGCCATCTCCAATGGCATCTGATAAAGGCACTTACCTCACCGATTCTGAACAGCTGGGTGGCCCTTCTATTTGCAGGCGGTTTGCTGGCCCTGGGGATGCAGCTCACCTGAGGCAAAGCCCAGGCAGCTCCAGTCTCGTGACTATATGTAACCACTATTGCAGAGAGGTAACCACATGGGTGGTCAGGAGAGCTAGTAGAGGAGAGACTTCTGAGGTATTCTGTTAGAAAGAGGAGTTTACTGGGTGGGGGATGGCATTCCCAGTGGCGTGTGACAGAGTGGGGCAGCCCTGTGTGGTTGCCACAGGTGCAGGGGCAATGGAGCAACATGGCTGATGGCCACTGTACTGGAGCAGGGCGCCAAGACCCTGTGGGTGACCCACGCTGTTGAAGACCCTGAGGAGAGGAGTGAGATGGTCAGGCTTCTGGTGCCCTGATGTTCAGGGCTCATGACTCCCTCCCCTGCCCCTAGTGAGAGCCCCTGGGCCCAGAAGTCACTGTTCCACCTGCTCTTTCCTAGCCAGCGCTCTGCTCCCGAGAGCCGGGCCCCTGCCCACTGTCCATTTGTGGCTGGGAAGGGGGCGCTTTCTCTTCCCTGAGCCTGAGTGAGCAAGCAGGTGACTTCATCAGCAGGACCACCACCAGGGACCAGTGGTCAACACTTCACCAGTGGGGTTAAGAGCAGCAGTAGGACTGAAGGGGCAGGTGACCAGTGGGAACCTGAAAAGTCCTTGGGCTGGAAGTCGCAGCGTTCTCCAGTTAAAACCTCCACGAGAGAGTTCCAGCACCTGAGGAAGGTGCAAGATGTGCCCCCCACTCCCTGTGCTTCCCTCAAGCTGATCCAGCCAGTCCAAACCCAGGCATGTGGGCAGGGAGAGGGCCAGGGCCAGGGCCAGGGCCAGGGGGCATTCCTTTTTCAGCTCTGACCAGGCCCCTGGATAGTTGGCCCCAATTTGAGGTTGGATGAGTCAGTCAGCAAGGCCAGAGGGGGCCAGCGAGCACCCACCGAGGGCTGGAGAACAGGCAGGCCTTTGATGGACGGGCCTTTCAACCTCCAACCCCTCACCCAGCCTCAACCCTATGATGCCTGCCTTTTCCTGGCTTGGAAAGCATGGTAGCTGAGGCCTCCCTGCCCTCGACTAGCCCATCTGCTGCTCTGCCTGGGGTGGGGAGGAACTGCCCATCTGGGTTTTCCATGGCGTATTCCATAAGGGTGTAGCTAGGGGCAGTGAGATTTCAGAGTCTCCTACCAGGACCAGAGTGAAAAAGAGCATTAGAAGTTGGGCCAGCCTCTCGCTGTTGAGAAACACTTCTTCCCACCAACCCCCAACACTCATGTGGCAGCGTGGACCCTGGAATGGGCTTAATTCCCGGTCTCCGTTTGTAAAAGGCACCTGTCGGCACGTTTTTCTGTAGTTGGTTTCACCTTCTAACTTTCCAGCTCAAACGGCCCTTAAGGCCAGCAGGTGGGTTCCAGACCCACCTTGGAGCCATGGTGCGGAGCCAGGTACCACACTTCCTGAGCAGCCAGAGCTGAATGCTGGGCCTTCAGGCAGCAAGGAAACAGGGTCAACAGGCTGTTTCCAGGTGGGCAGGTGGATGCCAGGGGACAGTCAGTCACTCAAGGCCAGCTCTGTGCCCAGGTGGGATGTGTCCCTTAGGAAAATCTTGGTTTCCTCTGACATGTGGGAACAGGATATGTGCGAATTCTCCACTGGATCCACACCTGTTCTTTGTTTCCAGGAAAGTGGGCCGGGGTAACTGAAAAGGAATGTACTTGGGGAGACAAAAGAGGCATTAACTACGTTCACGTTGTGTAACTACCACCACGATTTCCTGAACTTTCTCATCCCAAACAGAAACTCTGTCCCCATTAAGTAATAACTCTCTATTCCCTCCTCCCCTCAGCCCCTGGGAATTTCTCATTTCTGTTTCTATAAAATTTTTTTGAAAAAATATGTTTTTATTGATTTCAGAGAGAGGAAGGGAGAGGGAGAGAAAGGGAGGTAGAAACATCAATGATGAGAGAGTCATTGATGGACTGCCTCCTGCACACCCCCTACTGGGGATCAAACCCACAACCCGGGCATGTGCCCTGGATCAACCACTGAGCAACACTGGCCAGCTGTTTCTATAAATTTTCCTCATCTAGATGTTTGTGAATAGCTTCTGTTGCTGAGCATCATGGTTTAAAAAAAATTTTTTTTTTATTGATTTGAGAGAGAGAAACATTGATTGGCTGCCTTCTGCATGCACCCCCAACCAGGATCAAACCCGCAGGCCGGGTATGTGCCCTGACCAGGAATCGAACCTGACACCTTCTGCTGTATGGGATGACACTCCAACCAACTGAGCCACACTGGCCAGGGCTGAGTATCATATTTGTAAGTTTCATTCGTAGCATGTGTCAGATTTATTTATTTTTATGGCTGAATAATATTCCATTGTATGGATTACATTTTGCTTATCCATTCTGTTTGTCCATCTGTTAATGGACAATTGGGTTGTTTCCCCTTAAAATTAATTTTTAAGTATAGACAAGTAATGACTATATCATCATTGGGGACAAAGTTAAACCTGAGTGATAATGTCCCCTGTGATGACACTTTTACCATGGCCCTTTCTTGCTCTTTATGGTAGCTGACCACTTTTGCTCTCCAAAACTAAATACCTATTATAATCAACAGCAACAGTGTGGGAGGACCCCAAACTTTGGGGTGGTGGAAGAAAAAATGGCTTTGTACTAGGAGTCAGGAAAGCTGGCCTCGAGGCCTGGCTTATCCTTTGACAAATGACTTCCCCCCTCTGCCTCCTGCCCCCCTTTTTTGTGTTCTCATCTGCAAAGGATTAAACACAAATTACTGACCCACCAGGACTACAGGGAAGGCAGGGCTCCCTGCTGTCCCCTGTCTGGCAAGTGGCGGGTTGGGAAGCTCTTTTCTGAGAATCTATCTCTGCTGTGTTCATTTTAAATTTATTTTGTGAATAGGTGATACATGTATATAGCAAAAAATCAAAATAGCACCAAAGAGTATTTCACCAACCATTATGTGTCCCTCCCATCCTGGTAGCACAGTCCCAGCCCTACCATCCCCTGCATGCCCTCCCAGAGATACAGTGTCCATCAGGCATGGGTGTTACCCTGCTGCTTTTTTCCAGTTGTAATATTATATCTTAGAGATCAACACTCCCAGTTGTAATACTGTATCTTAGAGATTGTTCCATATGGATACACGGAGAGTTGCTTGATTCTCTGCAACCCATGGGCACTACCCCACTGCAGGATACACTATCATTTATTTACCTTCCCAGTCTTTTGCTCTTCACAATCTTTGGACACCTATGTTCTGTTCCTTTGTGAGCACACCTGCAGGGCAAGTTCTGAGATTCCCTCTTTCTTTGGAGCAACTACGCTGGAGCCTGGAGGGTGGGAAGCTCTGTGAGCCAGGTCCCAAGTGCTGCTATGGTAGGTCTGGGGACTCTGGACATGCCCCTCTGGGCCCTCTTCCCTCCTCCCCATCCCTGTGTTTCCTCCTGCTCCCCCTGCAAACCATGCTCTTGGGAAAGGGTGTAAAATGTTATATTCTAGGCTGTAGAAGGACTTAGCTTAAAGGAGTGGTTTTTAAACTTGCATTTAAGCCTTTTATGTAAACAAGATTGTCTTACATCCCTTCAAGGCCCTGTGCTATTGGGCATCAATGTCCTGAAAGGGATGTCCCCTCCCCCACAGCTGCCCAGTGATCACCCAAGGGCAGGCCAGACAGAGGAGGGGTGAGGGGAGCCCCAGTCCTGATGCAGTGTCCGCTCTATTTCCACTCTTGGCATTCTGGCAAGCCTTTCTCTTTATTCCTGCCCTCCTCTCCCCGACCCCTAGCCTAATAATGATAATGGGGGATAACCTAGGGGTCAGATGGTGACCTCTCACTGGGTGCATGCTGCTTCACGTCTACTTTGACATGGTCTCCTCTTAAATCTTCACAACTCCAAGGCTTGGGGCCCCTTCCCTATTTCATAGATGCTCCCGAGGCACAGAGAGGGGGGATGGCCTCCTGGGACCATAAAGCCAGCAGTCAGAGGAGCTGATGTGGGCTGTCCTTCTGGTCATCTCTGTTGATAGTGATGCTACTCAGAGACCCTGGCCCCAATCCTGCCCAAGGCAGCCAGATCTGGGCCTTTCCTTGAGGGTGGTTCCAGCCATTCCCAGAGGCTGGAACAGGCATATTTGCAGGTGGGTCCTGGGATTTTCAATCAGCTTGGCCCAGTGTCCCCAGCCTCCTTCGTTCTCTGACTTTGAAGAGAAACCCTGAGACTACAAGCCTCAGAGGGTTAGAAAAAGTCCAGGGTCAGACATGATTCTAACTAGGAACTGAGAAAGGAAGAAGCAGAAAGGTGTGGAGAAATCCAGTCAGCATTTAAACGCCAGACTTCATGAAGGTCCGCCTATTTGGCTTTTTAAGAGCTGGAGGGTCTGGGCCTGTGTTCTGGCTGGCCTCAGTCGGCTGGCCTGGGCCAGGGCTGGCTGCAGGCTTTCCCTGTCCCCACCGCACCCCCTAGCCTACTTAATCCCCCTCACGCTGCCAAGTTGGGAGCCTGGGCAGAGTACAGCGGTATCCCCAGGGCTCTGCCTCTGACACTGTGGGGCCCTTTCTGTTTCTCCCTTCCCAGTCACCTCAAGGGTGGCAAAGGCCAAAAGGAGGCCAAAAGGCTGAAATGTCCAGCACACCCTCGACTCAGACCCTGGCCTCTCCACGTGCTCTAGCTGATATCACTACCGCCTTATTGCAGGTGATCAGTGCGAAGCTGGTGGTGGGAAGCTGCTGAGGTGGCGGGCACAGCTGGGAGGGCCGCACGTGGCCCCGAACAGTCCACAGCTGGTCCTCCCACCCGACCCCGGCCCAGCTGGCTACTGGCCTCTGGGTTGCGGCTCCGAGCCGGCCCATGGTCCCCAGGGGGCGCTGCGTCCTTGCGTCTGTGGCAGCAAAGCGAAAGTCGCTCCAGCCACGCGGGGCGCCGTTGCGCGTGGGGTGCTGCCCAGGAAGCCAGGCGCTAGGGAACCTTTTATTAGCCCTCCAGCCGAGTCCGCGGGGAGAGAAACGCCCCCCTGCCCGCCCCCACGTGCACACCGAGAAGGGGCGCCAAGGTTATTGGGGGTTGAGGGTTGAGGGTCCCGACTTGCCAGCCCCGACCCGGAGGGCTGGCGGGTTGCGCGGGCGCGTGGGGCAGGAGGTGTGCCCGGTGCGCTGGGTCGTCGAGGCAGCGCGGAGGCGGGCACAGGGCGGGAGGACGGGCGGGGGCCGAGCTTATAAACCC